TTAGTATAACAAAATTGAAAATTGAAAAAATTGTTTTCTGCTTTGATATTTAAAGAGGCATCTGAATCTTAACTTGTCACATAGGGCCGCTTGAGTGGGACGCCTTGGTCTCAGCTTTAGCATCGTTTTTAAAACTAAAGAGTTAATGTTGTAATGTTGTTTTCAACCTGACCGAGTCCGTCTCAACCCAACCAAACAGTTTTTGTGTCTATACCTAAAAAAAGAAGCTTTGCTTATGAAAGTCAAGCAGAAATGATTCATTGTCTTTGAATTGGGGATTTGGGGTGTATGATATGGTTGGGTTATTGGGTGACTGTATCACCTGTCATCGATTGGCTGAGCCCATTGGTTGCTGGGTTAGCAGTTGCATGGATTTTTTTTTGGTCTGGCTCTTTGATGCTCAGGAGTTGGTGAACCTGTGAATCTCCATTCATAGCCTGAATCTCATAGGACATTATACTACAAACTCAATCACAATGTTCTCACCTCTTTTAAAATGAGGAAGTTACAGTTTCTCTATGCATACAGTTGCATTTTAAATATGTTTTAATCTGAACGTGATTACAGACTACAGAACAAGTGATCCCAGTCTGAAATAAAAAAATTCCAGTGCCCATATATTATTAAAGTTTAAACCGCAGGTCAATATAACAATACATTTTTAAGATGTTGTAGTTGTTTATGTCTATTGTGTTTGAAGGAGCTGTTTTGCTGGTTAAATAAAAGGCGATTGCATCTCTTCAATCCTTAGACATAAGTTCATCTTCTCAGAAGCTTAGTTTTTGCAGTGTTTGGAGCTGGTTTCCTGCTGTGATATGCGAGCTGTCGTTGTCTTCTTCAGAGATAAACCTTTGGCATGTTTTACAAAGCATCATTTTGCTAATCTGCTGTGTTTCTATGCTGTAAGCCTCTAAGGGCAGCCAAGGATGTTAGAATTTAATGATGCATGTCCTTCCATATAAAACGGTGATTCAGACTGGGCTTCCTTCACTTCCAGAGAAAAACAAAGCTATTAAGGATGGAGACTGGCATGGCGTCATGTGATGAACAGACAGAGGGAAGTTTCCCTACAGCCATGATGTGAGAGGGCAACGAAGCTCACCCTGAACCCTCCTGGCCCCGTGTGACAGTAGGGCTAGAGTCCCACAGTGAGGCCCGATGTGGCAATGCATCACACAGCTCCAGCTTGCCTAAGAGCAAACCATGCTGTGTTGGGGAAAGGACAGCTAGAGGACAATGTGGGAGATGAGATAAGAGAGATGAGAAGGGAAGGCAGGAAAGATGGCTGCCAAAGGCGCACAGGTTCAGACAGGAAGCAGCCACTCTCGCTTCGTTTCCTGTTAGGAAGAGCAAGAACGGTCATGGGGAGAACGTCAACAACTCGGTCCTGGGTTTTCACAGAGGAAGGTAGGATACACAGCAGAGAATTACAGCCCAACATGAGACTCGGAGAAGAGATTCAGGGTGTATGTTTTGTATAAAACTTCCTACAGGAGGCTCCCAGACCAAAGTGTTGTTGTGACATCTGGTGTTTTCTTTGGTGTGCTTCATAGTTTCTCTACACAAGAATGCAAATATTTAAAGTTTATTTAAAGTCAGATTTATTGGATTATTTATCTTGGGGTTTTTTTTTTTGCTCTGGCCTTCATTAACATTCGAAACAATGGTGTGTACTTAATAAATTACTGTTTAATTTTTCAAATGAAACAGTAACAGTGAAAACCAGATAACTTTTCGAAAGAAGTCCTCTAGTTATCCAAAGTCTAAGTAAGCATGTCAGTCAAAAGAAATGTGATAAAAGTTTACCAAATTGACAAATACCGAACTGTAAAGGTTTTTATTTTAGCTTTCCAAATTCAAAGATCTCATTTTTACTAGTTCCAGTCTTATTTAATTAAAATGACCTTGGTAGATACTCGTCACATTAAACATGGGAGTTAGCACAAAATGCTAATTTGGCTTTTCATCTGACTAGAAATGTCAATGTGTGGTTTTAAGGAGAAATTACATTCTGAAACTGTTTCTCAGCAAACATCTAGGTGCTAGCACTTCATCCCCCACACTCTCTTAACCTACATACACACCTTATAAGCTTTGTCAAACAACCCCTTGTGTTTAGTTACTGGACAACTTTACGCTCGACTCCAGTGTGATGGTGAAGAATGAGAGTCCTGAACTGTGCAGCTATCTGGCTGTAAATGCTGAGCAACGCTCGGTCCTGACCTCATTCAGTTACACTCAAGAAACCTGACTGCCAGACGCTCATCCTTTAAAACCCACTGAACTGTTTGAAGAAACTCTTTCAAGTTGAGCTCGTTTCATGCATGGTGCACCATCAGAGTGCTCACAAATACCTAACAGGATTACAGAAAGAGATAATGTCCATCTTTGCTTCCTCCCTGAAGTTGAGACTGGGAATGAAACATCTCCACATGATTAAATATTTACAGTTTACACTTTAACGCTGGTCAAGACTGTTTGGAGCTGTGCCGCCATCCATCGGGCCATGAACATAATGCATCCCGCAGTTGCCACAGTGATGAGGGGGTCAGAGCTTTCCCCTGATTTGTGTATAGAGAAAATTATTAAATTTAGGAATTAGTGCTTTGTTAATGTGCGTGTTGTATTTTTGAAATACGCTGAAATCTTTGTTATTTCATTTTTATTATCTCGGTGGAAATTGTGCAGTGCAAAAGTCGTAAACCAAAAGAGAACACAATGGGAAACATGCAAACATACATGGAAATTCAGTATTGTGGTAAAACCATACAACAATTTTGACAAGATCTCTAACACCACTGTCTGAAATGCAGCTTCAAACCATGACAGAGCCTCCACTGTGTTTTACAGCTGTAGACTGTAGACACTCACTGATCAGCAGAAGGTCCAGATGCATCTCTGTGGGTCCTGTGTCAGGTCTCTGCCTGAACTTTTCCTATTTCTTAAAGAGATGATTTTCAGATACTGTTCATCTACTGTAGTTTTTTTTTTAGGCCTGGCACTTCTTCTTTGTCCCTCCACTTATATGGTTTTCTCCCATTTTTTAAGGACTTGCTGCACACGTGCTGAGAAACACAATATTTTTTTGCTAGTAACTCTTTGGAAATCACATTGGTGCAAGAGTAATATTATGATATATTATGCTATTACATGGTAGGTTTGCTGTTATTCTTTATCATGCCTGTCAACTTGCTATTTTGAGATTCGGCTAAATATAATAGGAAAACGTGATGTGTTTTTGCAACAGGCTGCTGTAGGAAAGTGCCTGAAGATGTTATATGTAGAAATGGCTCATCCCTTGAGTCAGGTGCTTTTTTATTGTAGAATATTTCACAGGTCAATGTTCAAGGACTGAGCTATAAAATTGTCCAGTCGACTGGACTAAAAATGGGTGAAAAAGCAGAAAGACCGTTAGAAACCCTGGAGAACTATTGCTCAAGACCCTTTTTTTAATTACAACAAACTCTGGCTCACTTGAAGCAAAATGTAAAGAAACAAGAGGTGGTTTTTACCCTTTTGCATAGTGCTATATAAGAAAGCAAGTTGGCAAGCTGTGAGCAGGCATGGATGTGACTGGCTGAGAAAGTTGTGCACGGCTGACTGACTGAAGACGTGAGAGACACAGGCAGCTGGCTCATTGAGCAGTCATCTGTAAATGTGTGTGTGTGTGCGTGCGTGCGTGCGTGCGTGGTTCTAAAGACGCTCCAAATAAAATTAGCTGTCGAGCCCAGTCCTTTAGCAGTCTGCAGCAACGACTCAAGGTCAGACTTGCTGATCCTGCTGATGCATTTTATTCTCCGGAGCCAGCATCAAGCTCCCGGGTGAGGGTTTACTGCTGCCCACCAACCCTCTACTCATTCCCACCCCCATTCATCCTCGGCACACACTCCCTTCCCTCCATTATCACCCTGGTCCTCCCTGGTTTGGGAGTGTGCATTTACCCGTTAAATTAGGTGGGGGAATGAGGGGATGACGCTTTCGGCTGGAGTGCCTGGATACCCGTGCTGACGTGTGGCGGGGAGATGGATAAGCTAAGGTGTCCTAATTTCCCATGTGACTACAGTAATTGTGTTATAATGGAGGTGGGAGCTGAGTGGTCATCAGCAGACGGACAGAAGTACAAAGCTCCTGGCTTTATGCCCCCCCCCTTTTACCGCTCAGACGGACACAGCAGGCATTGTGGGCATGATGTGGCCGTGCATGCAGTTTACGACACAGCAGGAGCTTCAAAGGTTGAGTGATTGGACTATGTGTGCACCCCAGTTTGTTATCGCTTCAGGCAGAAGGTGAACTCTTATACCTCATCTCCTTCAGTTGGTCAAGTTGGCGTCTCAACACTTTACACAGAAAAGCTGCGGATCTCCTCAGGCTAATATCACAGGCAGTTTCTGTCTATTTATCATCCAAACAGTTATTCATTTACTCATTAACTGTTAATTATAGTGGTACACAAGCGAGAATACATCACCAAACTGTGAAAGGCAAACCCATGTTCTATTATCTATTATTTTTTCTCATAAAATTAGCACCATCTCATTTTCCGCCTATGGTGAGATCAATAATTGAAATACATTAAAGGGGCACTCCAACAATCTTCTCATTATGCGTGGTGAAGCCTGTGAGTATGACTCATGATAAGTAACCGTGGTGATACATAGGGTTACTTATGCAAACTTTTAAAATCTCCATGCAGAGGCACAGACGTCATTAGAGTGATTATGCATTAATGATCCTTATGATGTCATCAGGTTTTTCAGTTTCTGGGCTCCTTGCTTTTCAATCTGGAGGTGTTGGCTTTGATGCAAAATAAGTTTTGTGAAGAAATCTGAATTGAATATTATGGACAATGTGATGCATTATGGGGTATGGGATTTTCGAGGAGTCCCCCCCGCCCCCATTTCTTTTCTACATGCTAATTTTACTGGAGTGAAACATGTTATAAGCTTTCTGAATACAAAGCCGTCCTCACGTTACCACTCTTCTCTGTTGATTCCTCTTAGGCACCATGAGACCAGTCCAGAGGAACTTCTATGATCCGTCATCTGCCCCAGGGAAAGGTGTGGTGTGGGAGTGGGAGAACGATAATGGCTCGTGGACGCCGTACGACATGGAGATCTGCGTGACCATCCAGAACGCCTATGAGAAGCAGCATCCCTGGCTGGACCTGACCTCTCTGGGCTTCTGCTACCTCATCGACTTCAACAGCATGTCTCAGACCAACAGGCAGAGCCAGAGAAAGAGACGTCTGCGGAGACGCATGGACCTGGCCTACCCACTCATCATGGGCTCCATCCCCAAGTCCCAGTCCTGGCCTGTGGGCGCCAGCTCTGGCCAGCCCTGCTCCTGCCAGCAGTGCATCCTGGTTAACAGTACAAGAGCTGCCTCTAATGCCATCCTGGCCTCCCAGAGACGTAAACCCCACGGGGGGACGGCGGGCAACGCAGGCGCCGCAGGGACCCATACCGTAGTGCGGCAGAGCAACACCTTTGCCGGTACTTCGTTTTGGTCTCCAACATCCAGCTCCACTGGCACAAACAACAATAACATTAGCCTGGGAGGTGGACAAGCTAAAGCTGAACAGGTGCAGTTGCCACTGTCTGCTGCCAACTTTCCCTGTTCCCCCGTGATGCCATCTCTTTCATCTGCCCATGGCCACCACACTCTCACCATTAACGGACAGAACAATCTGAACCGTCCGGGCACCCAGCGCATTTCCGTGGGGACTGCCAGAGGAGCCATCCCAGCAGGGTAAAGATTTTTTATTGTACACGAGAGGCCAATGCACACAAAGGCATTGGCCTCTTTTCCTAGCTCAGATTTTCTGGAGTTGGCAGTGGCCTTTCACTCGATATAACGGAGGCATAATGCTCCGATTCAGTTGAATTTACAGTTCCACAGAGGCAACGGGTGGATATTAAAAGCCAAGAGCCAATTTTCATGTCTGCTACACAAAAGCGTCACCCTGAATCCGTGCTGTATATTCTGTCTTTCTCTCCCTCTTTCTGCTAATTTATAACTACTGTTGTTAACGTGCCGATCAATGAACCTGCAGGATAAAAGTCCAGCTGATTCTCCTTTGGCCCAGTTGGCCGAGGAGGAACCCTTTTCCTCCATATGTGTGCCCGCCATGGTTACTGCTCCATAACGAGCTTATGTCGGCCCCCGATAGGCGTGAAATGCTGCAGCCTCTGTTGGAGCCCTCTGTTGCTTCTGCTTTGAAGTAATTTGTTGCTCTCACACTTCGCTGTGGTTGTTGTGTCACGGGATGTGAAGAGACAGTTTGACACTGTATGTGGATGATCTGAACGCGTGTTTATCTGCATCATTATCTGCATGTGTGTGAATGCGTAGCTGTGGAAACCTATTTGCCACGGAGGCAGAGCTCCACTGGGGAAGCATGAATAATGGATCAAGGAAAAACGGGAGCTTCGGCAGAGCGCTCTGACCTCAGAGCGATTCAGAGAATGGAACCAAGGAATAGAAGTGTGCTAGCGTTGTAACCGATACTTCAGTGCCCCCCATCCTGCTTTCTTTTGCTAAAATAAACCCTCTCCTGATCTAATTTGATTCCATTTTGTTCTCGCCGCTCATGGGGAGAGACACACTTACTGCATGTTTGAATAACACCGTCCTTCACCCGGACACACATGCTTTCACTTTGTGGCCTAATTCAGTGTCACCCCCACCCCCATCCTTACCACAGCAGGTCATGACTTTGTTTGTGCGACGTACTCGGCGATGCTTCGTTCTGCATTTCAAGAATTCAGTGACAGCTCAGGTGTTCAGAGCTGTGGGCGAAATGTGACTTCTTCTTCTTTTCGTATTCTTTTTTACCTCACAGCACAATGAGTTTGGTACGAGACAGTGAGAGCTAGAGTGAGGGAGAGGAAGAGACCGAGGGGGTAAAAGGCGGAGCGCGTCAGTTCCCAGGCGAGTGGCTCGACGCACAGGATGAGTGTGGTTAACATACACACAGCAGGACATGAGAGCTTGCAAGCGCACAGACACAAACTGAAACGTGAACTCCCTCGCATATTCCCACAAGCCTGCTACAGACAGATAACAGAGTAACCCACACAGAATGTAAAACATCAGATCTGTGTTTTTTTTCACACGCCCACGCTCTAATATAACTGCTGGGTGCACGGAAGGTATTTGGCACATTGTGGCTCGTTCACATGACTCTATTTCGCTGTTTTATGTATGCAAACGGGGTAGCCGCTATGGACGAATCAGGCAAGGTGTACTTCAAGCCACCAGTGAGAAAAGCTGCACGCTGGTTTTTGAGACAACGCATTTGTTCTCGAGTCCATTGATGATAAAAGGCCAGATATCGATCTTTGTATCTTCTGAAAAGGATACAGGTTGTGGTTGTCAAAGCGGGGGAGGGGAGGGGGGGAGTGTTTAATGCATCTGTGTTACGTGTGAAAACATCACAAGTGGCACCATCTGCTGGCTTGTGTCAACACATCAGTTTATCTTATTACAGAGCAGCCCACATATCGCCACCTGTGCAGCTCAGCGACAGATGCAGACTGCCATCGTTTTTTGTTTCTTCTTATCACACTGTTGCACGAGCTGGAAGCAACACTGCAACTGTCTATTATTTTATTAATTATTGTTATTAGATTATTTTCTTTGCTCACTGGTTGAATTGCTTGTTTTGGTTTTTTTTTTTTAACTGATGCCCAAAAGATATTCAGTTTACAGTGATGTAACTGGGAGAAATTAACTGACTATTTTTAAAATCAGTTCATTAAATAATTCTGAACCTAGCTTGCATCATCTTTATAGATATTTCATGATATTTATGAATTCATTAAATATTTGCTGGTAAAAGAGCTGTTCGTGTTGATCTCTTTGAGTCAATAGTCTTGCATCATTTATGTGCAGCACCATGTTGCGTATAGCTAATCGTTCTCGAGTATTTCACCCTTAAACCAAACTCACCATCGACACGTCGAAAAAGGAATCGCAGCAAGTTCTCGCTATGAGATTTTTCTCGTCGTTATGTGTTTATGCATAGATACGAGAAATGTTAACGACGAATCGTCTGCCTGTTTAAAGGATAAACAGATATCATTTGTAGCGGAATGAACAGAGAAAGAATTTCACATGTCCTCTGGGGATTTTTTTTGTTTTGTTTTGTGTTTTTAGGCCTCCGTTGTCAGTCAAACCACTTCCTCTTGTGCACTTTCTCTCCGCTCGACCGGGTTAAGCCCTGCGCTGCAGGTCTTTAGTTAGAGCTGCTTTATAGTATTGCTTTCAGTTCTCTGACAGGTGAAAGATGAAAGGTAAAAACAAAAAACAAAAAAAACAAGGCCTTGTCTTCATGAGCTGAAAGAAAGAGCTTTTTAATTGGGTTCGTTCCCTCGCTGCTATCGGCTGTGTTTACGAGCTGCTCGTGTTAAGGAGCCAGCCTGAGGCCTGAGATCATTATCCCTCAGTGTGTTGCTCTGCTTCTCCTCCTCTGGCACTCCCCTCATGATGAAAATTGTTATTAAAATAAATGGAAAAATCCCGAGCCAGAGTTTTGGAAATCGTCTGTGCCATCGTTGCTTATTTTCAGGGCATTTCAGCTGCGTGGTGACGTGTATTTCCCACCCACACTGTGTAGCGGGGGCAAGCCTCTCTCTCCTGCGATACACATCAATATGCAATTAAGCACTCGTGGAGTTCTCTCCATTCGACTCTGTCTTTATAGCGCATAATAAACAGATGAGGAGATATTAGTCTTCCGTCAGCACTTCCTCAGCGAGGCTTAATGTGGTCTCTTTATTTTGGGAATCACATCTGATTAAGTCCTCAAGGCAGCTGGGAGATTCCCTCCAGAGAAGAAGTATTACTCTGAGCAGGAGATAGAGGAGGAATAGTGACCCTCGTGCCCATGATCTGCAAGGGGCCTTTATTGCTGTGGTGTTGATGGATGAGCTTGTGGGAGGTGGGTTTATTACTAAATTACATTGGTTTTGGGTTAGATATTACAGCCTTAGTTATAAGAAATGCCACTCGGACACACTGTCTAAGGTTTGGGCGAAGATAGGCTCAGGTTAATTTTTACTTCATGGAGAGAAGGGAACAAAGAAGTGAACACAAGACAGGAGGATGAAAAGAATTGGAGTTGTCAGCGTAAAAGCAATGTAGAGGTGACAAGGTTCAGTGTAGTTTGCTGAATGTGGAAAAGGTCTGCGCTTGTTTACGCTGACAATGAGTTATAATTGCTCTCAAGGTCTGAGCACAAGCCAACAGAGCCCATTGTTGAGGATCATTGATTGTTTTAACCCTAAAGTGGCTGTTTTGGTGAGGACAACTCAGGGTTTTTAACATGAATGTTGGCGTTTCTTGATGAAATAATCAACATCGAAGGTTATTCCGTGTTAGAGATTTTTAGCGGCATGTGGTTTAAGGCGCGATTCAGAGGTACAGGGTTCACTGATTTCAGAGGTTCCCATTTCTAAATGAAAAAACAAGAAAGGCAAGAGAATTGTGTACAAAAGGAGACAGATGTCCACAGCTGTACACTGGCTACAGGTCGTCTGGCTGCCAGTTTAATGTGTAATCAGAGATTTGAAGGAAAGAACGCGCTCCAAGATGTGCGTCTGTGTGTAAGAGTGCGTGTCTTTCTGGTTAGGTGATAAGAATTATCAATAGCATCTAATGTTTGTGTGTTTTGTGTTTCGGCTGTTTTATCAACATATTTATCGTACCACGGAGTTTCTGTCTTATTTTGAGATCTTCTCTAGAATCTATATGCAGTACAAATGAAACTAACTAATGTCTTGTTCTAGTACAGATCCACTGCTGTGTGTGCTTTTAGTTTGTCCACAATGAGATGGCGTTAAGGGCTCTTGTGTTGTGTCGTCCCCCTTTCTTCTTCTCATGAAAATGATTTGTTTGATCACAGGACTCTCTGTGAACTGCTTAAATTAAACATGCACTCATAAAGGGAGGCATCTTGTCCACATTGTGCTTTGATTTGGGCAAATGAAGGATTCTCCCACTGGGTGGCAGTGAATATATTTATTTTTCTTGTTTGTTAGATTACTTTTTACTTTTGTTCTGCTTTTGGTTTTTGGGTTTTTTTTATATAAGCTTTTACACTTTTGTACACATTTTTTTATTCCAGACACAGAAAAATAGACCGCCAACCTCTTGACTCAAACTGGTGCTTTCATTGAGTGAAGGGCGGCTGTGTGCTGTGAAGTATTGACTGGTTAGTTTTTGTTACACGCGCAGACTGCAGGAGGTGAGTTCGTCTATTAATTCTTCTTCTGTGGCTGAAGGTGTGAAATCACTCACTGGTGTCTTTTTTTGGACAAAAATCAAATCTGACATGGCCCCCCCCCCACCTCCCACCCCCCTCTGAATTTGACTTTCTGACATAAGGCATTTATCAGAGCTGCACATCGCTGTATTTTTTTGTTACACTCCAGAACAAAAGCAAGCTGATCCTGGTTTCTGGCCCGCTGGTGTGAGACGCAGCGTATTTGAGTCCTTCCCAGAAATGCAGTGGGACACATCGGCTTCAGTCAGACCTCGTGTCCCTTTGTTATTGCACTCAGCTTATTGAGCGGCTTCCCCTGGTGTAAGAACCGAGTCCCTCACTAATATCAAAGCGCTGTGTTGATGCGGATTTGTGCAGTGCCTAGAGCTACAGGGTCTGACACTTCACTCCCTTCATACAAAGAGCAAAGAGACGTGCGCAGGAGTGTGTGAATGTGTGTGTACGTGTTTGTAGTCAATAAACTGAGAACTCTACTGATTCAGTGAGAGCACAGCATTGAACATCCGGAGATGATGGCTACCTTTAACTCCACGTTATTTGAAACATGGGTTTGGTTTAGAAGTGTAACAGGTTTGCCACAGTAACCACAGGGTTGAAGGTAGTTAGTGCACACATTTCTTTACTAATCACTCCTCCGACAACTGTGCGGCTTCGGAGCGTAATGACTCTGTGCTGCAGTCTGCCACTCACCAAATGCAGGCCAGGTGTGCCACTCTTTCCACCGGCCACTTCTACGTCCAAGAGCCGAGCCATTAACTACACCGCACCACCACAGTGAGCTGTATTACAGGTGTCTAAGGTTACCTTCCTAAAAAGAGAGAGACCCTGGCTTTGTTCAAAATATGTAGTGCTTGAGAAATTTATTAGGCCAACACACAGTGTAAGGCTGATGCCCCAGCTGGCCCAAGTTAACAGCATTGGTAATTACCAACATGTTTCTGTAATGGTTGTCCATCAGTCTGCACAAGCTCTTGTCACACAAACTAAGTTTGTTTGTTTCCTGTTAAACAGTTCTTCTACTCTAGATGATTTCTTCTATATAAACACTTTGTCTCTATCTTCACTTGTTGCCAAAGGGCATTAAAGTACAGACCTATATTTTTTTTATTTCCTAAGTGGTGAAATACAAGCTTCATTTTATTCCAGAATCCCATTAATGATATTAATTTCTGGAGGTCTCAATGGAGACATGATATATGATTTTCCCTTGGAGCCACCATTCTCAAAATATCCTCACATCAGTTCATATTGTGACCTAGTCTTCGCGGTTTCTTCTTCTAATGTCATTCTTACCATCAACTCTAATAATATTAAAACAATAAATCTAAAAATGAACAACGGCTTCCTTCTTCGTAAAATAATATGTATGAAGGCCTAACCAAGTGTCCTAGTGTAATTTCTGCAATTTAAGAGGAATTTAAATGGTTATAAAACTTAATTAGAATTTTTTAGTCCACTTTTCCACCTGTTTGGAGTCTAAACTGTTAACGGGAATAAAAATGTGCGGTTTGAAACTATCCATTTCAAAGTAAAGTGCTTGTTTTCATCATTGTCTCACACTGGCTTACGTTTGTTTTTTTATAATTGTCTGCTGTCCATTGCTTTCAAATTTAGTAAAATTTACAGGCTGCTTCCTTTAGGAGTCGCCATAGTGGATAACCTGCCTCCATTTTATCCCCGGTATCCTCTTCTCTAACACCAACCCTTTTCATGTCCTCTTTCACTACTTCCATGAACCTCTGCTGAGATCTTCCTCTTTTCCGCCTGGAATATGGCAGCTCCATACGTCCTTTGTCCAATACATCCACCATCGCTCGTCTGTACATGTCCGAACCACCTCTGCCTTGCCTCTTTAACTTAAGCGCAAATCGCTTGACCCAACCTGTCCCTCTCATGTACTGACTTCTAATCCTGTCTATCCTCGTCACTCCCAATGAAAATCTTTCCATTTACCCGGGCTTGGGACCGGCACTAAGAGTACATTTGAGTACACCATCATATTTGGTGTGATTTTATTTATTAGGTGTTTTTTAAAGGGCAGTGTAATCTCAGCTTTAATAGCTCTTAGTTTGATGGCTTCGTACTTTTAATCCAGGGAAAGGAAACTTGTTTCTGTGCTCTGCTTCGCTCGGGGAAATTTGCGCGCTCATATTAATGCCCCTGTTTTTGCCCGCTGTGCTTCATAGATCTTGAAGAGTGAGCAAGTCAACTGTCTTTGTTGTCTGTGTTTGTCATGAACTTCCACCTCTCCGAATGTCATCCTGAATCAGACTCTGCGGCAGCGCTTTGCACAAGTCAAGCTGTCCCATCCTACTGCAGTTGTCTCCGTCTTTGTTGTGAAGCACATTTGACATTTTAGCTTGAGTGTTTTTCATGCCACGCAGAGCAGAACTGTCTGCTGCTTTCAGGTTTTTCAGCTGTGGCATAACAAGCAGTTGTACACAAATGGGACCGTTTACTGTCCATTTTAGCAGTCACAGTGTCATTTACAGATTATAAGCTGTGTATTAAATGGACCCGCATGGCGAGAAGCATCTGTCTGTGTAATGTGAGCAATTCTCTTTGTAGAGACCTTTGAGTAAGGGACTGTAACAACACTGTAGTTATAATATTACTATTTTTATGCCTACTTTGCTTCACTTTTCATTTCTTTTCTCTTAAAGGGTTCCTGCACTCCCAGTTAAAAACTTGACTGGTTCTGGACCAGTGCACCCAGCCTTAGCAGGTTAGACCAAATCTGCTGTGCAGCATCTGTTTAGCAATCAGCTATAAATGATAGTTTTTGCTGAGATGAGTAATGTTTTTAATTTTTCTGTGTGTGTGCTCTACCCATGCGTCAGGTATGACAGGTATCCTGATGTGCGCTGCAGGTCTGCCTGTTTGCCTGACTCGCGCACCAAAACCTATACTGCACCCACCCCCCATCAACAAGAGCGACATGAAACCTGTGCCAGGAATCAACGGCATGCGCCGCAAAACCAAGAAAAAGCACCTAAGAAGAGGTGAGACGGCGGGACCGAACAACAGAATGAATTCAGAACAACAGCACTGTAGTTTGTAGTTTTATAATAAGTGAAGAAATGAGAAATGCACAGATGAGAGAAATCTACTGACCACTGACAGACCATCTTTGTTCTGCCAAACTTTGCGACATGTTTCAGCCTTCTGAGTGTTGAAACTGCAAAATAAGCCACCAAATAAACTGTTGAGGGATCCATAATTGTTCCATAAGGTTAGCAGTGGCTGAGATTTCACCCAAGTTTGCTAACAGTCAGTTTGAAAGGCATTCCTGTACCTTTTGAAAAGCTCATATATGTATACAGTAAAATAACAACTTCATAAATGTAACACTACATTCAGATTGATACATGAAGCCACAATGAAAGGCATGGTTACACTGAGCCGGTTCGAAAGGGCATCTGGTGTATAGTTGGAGAGCTCTGGGCCTGAGTAAGTGTTGGTCGATGCAAGTAGTGGAAACCACAGACCTCCCCGGGGAGTTTTTGTATTAATTGAACAGTCAGACTGTTGGATTTCTATCCTTGCACTGCACTTGTCCTCTTAGTCAGTCCTTCAAGCATCTCATCATTGTGAACAAAGATTTTGTTTAGAGATACACCAGTTTAAATTCCTTCCAATTTTCCAGTTTTCTCCAACTGTGACCTGCCGGTATCAGTATCAGTAAGAACAGCATGCGCCAACAAAAGCATTCCTCAATGCATAGTGTAATTTTCATTATAAAAGAAAGTATTGAAGTTTACAAAAGCAAGTGCAACAAATGTCAGGTACTCACATCATCTGCTGTGTTTATAACGTCACCAGATAACGGCCTTTTTCTCTTTCCTGCTTCTTTAGCTTTAAACAATTTTCCTTTTCTTAGCTTCTTTAAAATCTCCTTGTTCAGTTGAGAGATGGTGATTTAAGTGTCCGATTAGGTTTGTTGTTACAACAGTTTTTTGCAGTGGTCCTTATTCAAATTCACCAAAATCAGCTTTTAAAAAAAAACAACAACAAAAAAAACAAGAGCCTATGCTAACAGCTATGTGAGACTACCTTTAAGTAAGGCCTAGAGCTAAGCTAAATGCTAACACAGCTAATATATCCAGACTGCCTGGTAATAGCTAGCTAGCACTAAATATATAGTTATTAGTTTTGCAAGTACACTTGGCCTTAAACTAGAATTTAAAACATGCTATTAGAAGGTATCTTTTATATGAATGTATTACTATCAAGCCAAGTTGTGCGAAAACTTTAAAAATCGCAAATTCATGACCACATATTTATTTTAGCCTCAACAAATGCTGCAGACTATTACAACACGTTCTCACTCCCAAAGCGTAATATTTGACGCTAGGTGACAAATTGTCAACATATTACGCTTCCAGACCCCCACCACGTCCCTAAGTGACAAGATTGGAAAAATGAGGAAACATGAGAACTGTTTGGAATCAATCTCACATGTTCGTTCATTTTACTTAAATCACTTTGGAAAACGCAGTTTAACGTCATTAAAGTGCTGGTAAAGGTTAGGGATAGGGTTAGTGTTAGGGCTGGAATACATGGCTGGTACGTGTATTACTGCGGGACTGTCATTCTACTGGATTTCATCCATAAACTGGTGCGTAGCATAAGAACGCGGAAGGTCACCTTTCACATACCTCAGGAACGCCACGGGATGTGACAAATCGTCGGGATGTTAGGCCTCGGGAGTGAGAACGGGCTGACTATTACCAAAAAACAGCAAAACTGCCTTTACTAATAAAATAAAATAAAATCTTCTGCTGTAGTAATTAGAAATTATTGACCTTTCAAATGTTACTTCAGGCAGCAGACAAATATGCAACCTATGTGTTTGTGTCTGATTTGATTTCTATTACTCTGCTTTCTGCACCCAGAACAATCAGAGAAGTGAATGAAGCTGTCAAATAACAACAGAGTAAAATTATTCTTAATTCATTTATTAACTTTTTCTCTGTCTTTCTCCTCCTTTTTTCTGTTTCCACCTCTCCTTCTCTTCACACATTTCTACCTCCTGCATACCCTTTATACCTGAGGATTTGGGGGGGACAAAAGCTGTCTCCTTCCCTCACTACTCTCTCTGCCTCTGTTCACTGGCTCTCCCTCAAATGAACAAACAAAAGCTCGTGGGGAAAAAAGGTTGCCTGTAAGCGTATTAGGGATGTAAGCTGTGGGTGTGCTCTCAGCCATACCAGCCTGGTTGCACACAGGGATTATGAGAGTGTGGGGTTGCCAGTGTTATGTGGCAGCTTCAAGGTGACCTCCTCTTGAACATCACTAACATGTGTACTGTTTGCACGTGCACACTTTCTTTTATTGATAAAAAAAAAAGAAAAGAAAGGCACATGGGGCAGAGTAGTCTCTGAGACTGATCTGATGTTATTCTCTTGTTTTTGAATAGTCAATTTTCTCTTTGCTCACACTTACCTGTGGCTTGTTCTCATGTTCTCAAGGAAAAAACCCAGAAGATGTGGTGCGAAGATACACTGAGAAGATTAAAGTGGTTCCAGATGAGGTGAGAATAAAACCCATCGGTGCGCATATTCAGGATTTAAGTTGCTTCATGAGTACAGTCATGTACGTGTCAAATGGCAGCTCAAGTATTTTGGCCCGCTATTCCAGGACTGTACCATCTGCATGGAGAGGCTGGTCATGTCATCCGGCTATGAAGGCGTCCTGCAGCACAAAGGCATCAAGCCAGAGCTGGTGGGCAAACTTGGCAAGTGTGGGCACATGTACCATCTGCTATGCCTGGTGGCCATGTACAACAATGGCAATAAGGTGGGTAAAAGCTTGCGAGCCAGACGCTGTTATGATGTCACGCTAGGCTCAAATTCTAAACTCACGATGTCTTACAGCTCGACGGGGTTGCACGGCACTGGCAGATGATGGCCCTCGATATTGCTGCTAACAGATGGAAAGCTTATATAGCCTCATCTGATCAGTCTTGACAGCACAGTATTTTGTAAAATCACTTTGGACTCTGAAGTTTGCTTGCAGGAAATTCAGATTTACTGCTTGCAACTGCAAACAAAAGAACACCATGCTGCACTGTTGGTGCTCCAGAACAAAAAAATCAAGTCAAATCAAAGTTTCTATTGTGCCTTTAAAATACCTCAGTTCACCAAAATGCTGTACAGTTTGTACAAAATATACACTATACACAAGAATCACTAAATGAACAATAAATATACAACAGAAATGTAATAAAACAAAGTAAATAAGTCTGTTTTTGCATAATAAAACCAGGGAACTCTGCTCAACTAGACGTGAAAGCAAGAACAAATGGGTCTTTAGAAGATTGGGAGCTTCAATCACCTCTAATTTAAATCCTTGATCTGGGAATATCCAAGAGCAGGTCGTTCGTAGATGTCAGTGCTCAGCTAAGAGTTTAGGGTTTCCAAAGTTCTGTTAACTAACAGCGTGACAAACCATGAGGTTTAAAAAGAAGGAATAAACATTTAAACTGGATCCTGAAATGGAAGTAAAGCCAATATGGGTGTAATGTGATCACACCATTTTCCCCTTTAAATAAAAGTGTGAATTACAAAAGTAACAAAAACAACAAACTCCTTATTTACATTTTACTGTGACAATCTATGCAGATGATTCTACTATTTATTTGTCCAGTTTCTAAAATTCCCCTCTTTGAATGTAGATTTTTCTTTAAGCTGCGATAGGTGATATTGCTATACTACATTATAATAGATGTGTAAATCCTACTGTGGCTCCAGAAAGAACTGCAGTGGTGTATTTTTCCCCAGCTCTACTTGGGGATAAAGACTAACAACTCCTGAGAAAAATATGTTTTTTTTATCCACTAAATATTAAAATATATTTACCAGTTAGTTCCTAACATCGTCTATCTGCTGTTTGGAATCATTCTATTTAGAGCTGAAATTAAAAATGAGCAGAAACAAATAAAAGGCATTTTTCAGTCTCAATATTTGATATATTGTCTCTAGGCTGAAAAAAAATTGCAAATCATCCATTTAATTTGGGGTTTTGGAAACAAAGTGGTTTAATTTTATTGCGTCATTAACGTCAAATCATTGTTTTTCTCCAAAGCAGGATGGCAGTCTTCAGTGCCCAACGTGCAAAACCATCTATGGGGAGAAAACAGGCACGCAGCCCCCCGGGAAGATGGAGTACCACGTCATACCACACTGCTTGCCAGGCTACCCAGACTCAAAGACCATCCGCATTGTCTATGATATTCCTGCCGGGATCCAGGTGAGAGCCGTCTCACTTCACCTAATCTACCAGCGTGCCTTTCTACCCTGATCCGCTGTCTCTTGCCTCTAAATCTGTGACCTTTTACAACTGCTTATCCGCTTAAGTTGGATGGAGAGTTACTCACGCAGGAAGCTGAGGTGTCGGGATCCTGGGGAAACAGCATTTTTAGGAATTAAGCAGTGATTCAGGGCAAAGACAAAGAAGTGTCTAAGAGTAATTCTCTCTCATGGTAAAGGCTTATGTTGTATAAGAAATATATAGAGTGAAAACATGTATGTTTTTTTGTCCTTATAGATATAGGCATACAAGTCCGCCTTTCCTTAGTTGAGTTGTCTTTCAGCTTATACATCAAACTGATTAACATTAATAAGAAAATTAAACAGCTGGGATTTGCAATTGGATTTCACCGGGTCTGAGCTTGTGGTATTTTGGCTGGTATTTTCTCCTCCTGAGATGAGCTCAAATTGAGTCAATAAGCTGACCTTTTTCCACCAGCGGAGAAGGCATAGAGCCCCCAGGGATAGCGCTGGGGGTCATCTGACCACTCAGATCAGCATAACAACACAATACACTATTGCCAGGGGACATTACTGTAGGTCTGTCTTTTTCCCCTCCTGCAGTTCAGCCTGCACTCTAGACAACATGAGTGATCATCATAGATGGTCAGGTTTACACTCTGTACTCTGTGGACGATAGCAAAATAATTGGGTGAGTAGGGAAGTGGTGACGCTGTGCATATTGTCCATCTTCTTTTGCCTTTTCAGTCTATGCCAGCACCTAAAACTGTATGATGAAAATAGTGGCACACTATATGGGGCTTTATACTTGTACATCTTTAATAGGTCAAAGTAGGTGGTGTGTTCACTTCAATTCAGTTCAGTTTTATTTTACATAGCACCAAATCACAACAACAGTTGCCTCAAGGTGCTTTATATTGTAAGATAAAGACCCTACAGTAATACAGAGAAAACTCCAACAATCACACGGCGCTTGGTGACAGTAGGAAAGAAAAGCTCCCCTTTAACAGGAAGTAACCTCCAGCAGAACCAGGCTTAGGGAGGGGTGCCATCTGCTATAGTGGGAGGCGGGGTTAGGGGAAGGAGACAGGAGAGAGACTCAATGTGGTTTACAGAGATTATCAGAGGAAGTTCTAAATGGTCGAGAATCTAACGCTCTAACCTTCTAGGCTTTTGGTGTCACGAGGGCACCTGCAAGATAGTACAGAATGAATGGAGAAATGTCATTTCTGTTGTTGGTGGTGTTGATTTTTTTTTTCTTTTTTGTGTAGTTGTAGTTAATGTTAATGTTCAGTTTTTAGATTTGAATTGGATTTTGATTGCACCACAAGCCACTTTATGGCATGAACTATTTTGATTTCATGCACAAAGAGAGGAGCGGCAGAGAGTTTCTAGCTGCCTGATTGGAGTCTGCCGTGCTAATACTTTTGTAGTTACCTTTTAGTAATAGGTGCTGATGAGGGGATTGTCCTCCCATAAACCCAGCACTCGCTGATGAATAGATGTCTTAATGTTTGTGAACATCAGAGCAGTTTGAGAAAAACAATAACATTTTTAAATATTGATCTTCTTCCCAGTGTTTGATCATCACAAGTAGCAAGTAGCAAGTAGCGCTATGATCAAAGGGACACATTTCTGCATCCCACACTAGAAAGAAGTTCAAAATCAAACAGATTTTCTTGTAAAAACCAAGAAGCGATCCACTGGTTGAAAAGCCCACACTACACTGCCGATGTATATGTGAAGAAAACTAAATGAGATTTAAAGATCAGCCTCTTCGAACATAAAAGCAACTTCAGGAAGAAAGTTGAAAGAAGCCCAATGACATTTTATTTCAGCTGCCATCATGTGTGATCTCCTTAAAGACAAACTCGAGACGGACTATCGAAAAGCTATCAATCTGTCAATCCTTTCCGTGTCCGGGCCGGGTGAGGTTTCCCGTGTTGAGTCAAATTGCAGAGTTACAGAGACGAGAATACTGGATTTGTGTTCTATAAATTGAAAACGCTAAAGGTTCAAATTAAGGATTAGCATTGAGCTGCTTTTTGTGATCCAGAGTCTTGTAATTCCAGGAAAACACATAACAACACCAGCACCCTCCTTTTATCATACTTTGTGTGACGCTATTTCATTTAAGTACTTGGGGTTCATCTCATTTGTAGGCCCAACAGGGCATGCTATTTCATCCAGCATGTGCAGTAGATGGTGCAATATTCCTGCAGATTTACATAATACACCTGTAATCAGTGTCATGGTATTGATAGTTTATGTTTATGTATTTGTGTCGTTTATGTTTAACTGTGACTGATGACATATCACTCCTGTTTTTATGATGGCTTGTAGCTGAAACCTGTTTGTTTTGGTCTTTAATGAACATTAAGAAGTATACTCATCCGTGATCAGTTAGTATTAGTGCCGTGTAATACTGCAATACAGTACTCGAACTGATATAAAGTAAATAAAGTCAAATACTGATACTTTTAACCTATAAAGGCTGTGACGGGGAGAGCAGTGTGCCATGACTTATAAGATGAATCATCAATTTACAAATTATGAACACATTTTAATGTGTAATTAAAAATTATTGTGATTTTTAAAAACACATCTTTCAGCTTTTTGTGTATTTTGAAACTGGGATTTGTTGGAGACCTTGAATGTAAATGTGCGTGTCTCTAAAGCACTTTGGGTCAGCTTCTGTTGCTTACATTTGTTATAGGCTATACATAAAATAAACATGACAGTCAACACAAAGAGGTTCAGACATGTTTTATGATGCATGTCTGAGGTCATTTTTGTCATTTCCAAAAGAAACATGAACAAAATGCTACTGGACTACGTGGTTCCTTAGAGGATAGGAACCACGTATTGATCGCATCGTGCTAGTATCAACCTGATACTGGTATCGATACTGTATTTGGATCGATCTCCCCACTTTTAGGCAGCACACATTAGCAGGAAGCTAGATTTATGGTTAAAATTGGCTTCGTTGTGAGAAAAAACACGATATTAGTCTCATTTCAGTGTGATGATATAATCAATATTTTACTTGAAAAGCGAAGATATAATTTCTATTTCTAGATGCAGGCATAAATCAGTCACTCCCATTCATTGGAGGCCACATTGCACTCCCCCTTTTGGGGGAATTACAGCTATTTTCGGTGCGCTGGGATTAATCAAAAGTGGAATGACTCTCTCTGGATCACCTCTGATGTAACTTTTGAACCGTATGCCTGATTTTCGAAAATAGCATACCTCTGGAGTCACTGAAACGAGCTGAGTTTAAAGAGTCCCGTGATATCAGTTTCTGCTTTATCTAATTTTATTTAAAAAGTTTCTTCATCTTTTGGCCACACCTGTTTTTTTTCTAACCATCTCGGCACTTCTTTCCAAAGACTGTCAAAAAATGAGTCAGCACAGAACGTTTTTCCTGTTATTGCTTACAGCCAGCTTTTAGCATGATCTGATCAAGTTGCCATGGCGACTGTGCCCTGCTGAACTACCTGATTCCATCAAAGCTTCTTGCAGCTTTATTTTTAGGTGGTATTATATTAGTGTTACAGTGAAAAGGGGCCTTGTAACCTGTCCAAGAAGTGTGCTTAATAGAGGCACAAAGAACACACAAAAGACCGGGAAAAGCAAATGTGTTGTTTACAGCAACCAAAGCCTGGCAATATTACCATAATGTAAACATAAAAAAGGAAAAGGAAATAGGAAAAGGGACAAAAAACAAGAGAAATTTGTTATAACAAGGTTGCTGTAACTGTGTAACGTATTTTTATTGATAAGGTTGAGGGAATTGGTGGGACCCTGGCTTTGATGAGCTACAAGATTTTTATTTCATGCTAGTGGTTTCAAAGCACTTTATTTTGACAGAGACTGAACATATTACTGCATATTGAAAGTAACATAGTTCCCAGCTGATTATTTTACAAAAGCCTCGTTTAAGCGATGTGAGCAGTAAAGCTTGTCCTGTGGGTGCTGTTGACATTTCCCACACAATTAAGTCATAATTGCAAGTGAAGGCGTTGTAACTTTTGTTTTTTCTTCTTGACATTTTCACCAGACCAATGAGCACCCCAACCCTGGGAAGAAGTTCAGTGCCAGAGGGTTCCCTCGACACTGCTACCTCCCCGACAACGAGAAAGGCAGGAAGGTAAGCTGCGACGCAGCTCCCAGACGGAAACAGCTGGCTTCCTTTTGTGGAAGCGCCGTCACACACCATCCTCTCGCTCTTGTCTCATCAGGTCTTGAAGCTGCTGATCATGGCCTGGGACCGACGCCTCATCTTCACCATTGGCACATCCAGCACCACGGGCGAATCGGACACCGTGGTGTGGAACGAGATTCATCACAAGACGGAATTTGGCTCTAACCTGACCGGTCACGGCTACCCCGACCCCAACTACTTGGACAACGTCTTGACAGAGCTGTCGGCCCAGGGGATTGGCGAGGACAATCTAAAGGACTGATGGCCAGCAGAACTGGTACACTGAAACAAAACCTCCCATGCCCCGCTATCTCCCAGAGAGCGGGGACACTGCACGACGGGCAACATGCGGCCGACAACGCTTTACTCCCCACAAACCAAAATATCCTGCAGAAAGGGTGGTTTTTGGTTTGTGTAACACAGGCAATCTCCCTCCCCCCTGCTGTCTCTAGATCCATGCCTTGAGCAAGTTTTGTCTGTTGGCAAAGTCTCTCAAAGTGTAAATGATGCAAAGAGATTCTTTTCTGAATGTTGGGACCTTGAGGTGAAAGGTATTTATCCCTTTTTCGAGTCAAACTGATGCTGTTCTTTGGCACTCAAAGAAAAATGACAAGGGGCTAATAACTGTACACAGGCATATCTGTAAAACGCTGAACTCCAGAATGCATGGCCCCGACTAACATAATGAAAGTCGAGCAAACACACGCGACAGGGTGAGCTGTCAGCGGATCAGCTGTTGCTTGGTATTATGAAGATTTAAGAAAATCGCAAAGAAATCCAAATTAATTATTTCCCTCCCCCCCCAGTTTACTTTTTTAGTGAATTCATTACAAACGTTGGTTGTGCATTTTCGAAAAAGCAGGTCATGGCTCCGGAGTGATGTCATTTATGGTTAATCTGATATTTTCCACTTCTGATAGGTCAGTGTATTTTATTTTCTACGTACGGAAGTATGTTCTGTAGTGCATGAAGTAGATTCCAGAGAGCTTAAGATTTAGAAGATTATTGGTGTTTGGTAACAATTGTGTGTTGTATGTTTAACCTTGTGGACAGTCTGTGAGAGGAGACATAAAATAAGATGAAACAAGCTCTGCTCCAAGGTTTAACTCATTTGTTTAGTTGACACACTGATGACGATGACCTCTGTGAATAAAAAGGCTGCATTATTATTATTCCTGTTGGAGCGAACCCAGGCGCTGGCACAATCCATCATGCTGACCGTACACAAGGGATGAGCGTGCAATCGCGTGCTCGGAGGCATTAATAAGCTGGCTTTAAGTCCTTGAGGAGAGAAGCTGAACACACAGATGGACGTTCCTCTGTCTTTCAAACACCAACAGCTTTCCCTTAGAGATCCATTTTCGGGGGAGCTCCTCCGCTCGCCTGCAGTCTCTTGTGAGCTTGTTTGCCGTTTGTTGGCGTTGTACTTGGCTCAAGTGCCCGCACAGTGAGCAGCTGAGCCTCGGAAACGAGCAGCATCTCGTCGCCTTCGTGAGCTCACTTTGGAGTCTTTGGGGCGCTTCCCGATGTATCTGTTCACCCCCGCTTTCCGCCTCCTCCTCAGCTGTGGAGCACTCGTTCTACAAACCATGCAAATGTTGGTCGAGTGTGTTGTTGGCTGGGGACTATTTTTTCCAAGGCCCCCCCCCACCCCCCTTTAGACTTAGTGCCCGCGAGATAAAGACTTTTCGAAGGTCCTCGGTGGAGATCTTGTGATGTTTATTTACTCTGCGATAAATTATAACCCAGAGCTGCATAATTCTCCATAGATATGTCTGATCAATTTTAATGAGCGGGAGCGTTGGTGTCAGGTTTATTAAGGGGTCACCCAGCAGCGGGCTTGATTTTGGGGTTAATCATAGTCTTCCATAGCACTTTGAGGCAACATTTTTGTTGATTAAGTCATTTGGTTTTTAGAAAAATGTCTTAAATTGCAACTTAATCTTTTTTTAAGTTGATGTTTATAAACTGGCTTGCGATGCTTTAACTATATATATATGAATATATAAAATATATTTGCAGATGTGATATACCTTTAAATTTAAACTCAATTTGAGTCAATGGTGTAAGTTTAATTTATTTTTATACTCTTCTATATAGAAAATATACAGATTGTCCCACATATCTGTACACAGGCACACGAACATGAATACATAAAATCTGGCAAAAAATTTTGTCAGGATGTCAGGGACTGAAACATGTATGACTTGTTATGGACGTCTTATATTGCAAGTAGTCTTAGCGTATTCTGCTGTCATGACCTTAATGTAGACCTTGTGTAGTTGATCCCCGTGGGACACAAATAAATACAGTAAATGTGTCTTTGGTATTGGTGGGGCAGCTTTAGCGGCATGAAGATGGCCCATGTTGGCCTTTTTTTTTACGTTCCGTGGGAACGGATGTTGTCAGCCATTTTTTGTTAAAGCTGAAGGTGAAAACAGCCTGGGTTCAAGATCAAATCACAAAATATTCTTAAGAGTTTGTTTAAGCGGGTGAGGTTTCTCTTAGTTAGGTGCGAGTCACAAACACAAGAATACACAGAGTTCGTCACTTTAAATTCTTCCCCTCCCTCCTGCAGTGCCATGTCAGTACTAGTTCAGAACTAGTTTTGCATTATATACTGTTGCGCGGCAGAAAAAGAGGAAATCACAGCCGACAGGATCTGCGGGCTACATCTGCAAATCATCCGTGAATTTCTTGCTGTGGAGCCTCCCGTTGCCACTGACAGCTATTTTGTTGTGGCGAGGCAGTGCCTGCTTTTTGGCTCCAGTACCAGTCCCATTTTATTATGAGAGAAACATGAAAAAGCTTTCTGCATCAAGCGCTAGCACCACATCAGTGGAAAAGTGCTACTTCTAACTCTCGCATCAAAGCACAGCAGTGTGGAAATATACATTTAAATGTCAGTGATGCCTCAGTCGCAGCCACTGTGTTGGTAAAGAGAATTTGCACATGCATATGCATACCCAGTGTGTTTGTCGGGACTCCATTTACATCTGCAATTAAAATAATCACAGCTGTTTGGTTTGCAACTGTAGTCTAAGCCAGATACATGGATTAATTATAAAACTCTTTTCATACAAAAGATTTGATCTCATATAGATATTAGGAAAGATATTTAAATCAAATATAATTTAATATGCACTGCTCAAAAAAATTAAAGTAAGACTGAAAACACGTCAGATATCAACAGCAAAAAAGTTATGCTGGATGTTTACACTGATATGGACTCCATAATGTGTTAGGAATGAAAGGATGCCACATCATTTGAGGGAAATTAAAAATAGTACTCAGGACCCAGTGCACCAGCGTAGGGTCTGACAGTGGGTCCAAGGGATTTCACGCTGATAACTGATCAGGGTGTCATTGCCTGACCTGTAGAAGTCAGTGCGTCCCTCAGATCATCACTGACACAACACCAAACTGATGATGCTAAACAGTGTTACAGACACCATGGACCTGCCAGTTCGGGCATTCTATGGCAAATGCCATTTGGGCTCCAAAGTGCTGGGCAGTGAGCATAGGCTCCTGTAGATCCCTCCTATCATGCCTCCTATCAGAGGCATGCACACCAGTGCTCTGCTGGAGGTCATTTTGCAGGTCTGGAAGTGCACAACTGTTCTTCCTTGCAAAAAAGGAGCAGATACGGGTCCTGCTCATGGGTTAAGGACCTTCAAGGCCATGTCCGACTCTCCTAAAGTAACTTCTGGACTCCTGAGCCAGTGATGGGAGACACAGCAAACCTTCTGGCAGTAGCACATATTGATGCACAACCTCAGAGGAGCTGGACTACCTGTGCAACCTCTGCAGGTTAATGCAACCCCTAATGGAAAAGTAGTGAAAAAAACTGTCAGAAAAGATGATGAGGGAAAATGTTTATCTGTAAAAGTCTCATTATTGCCCCTCTAGTGCAGCTGTTATTAATTTCATTGACACCAAAAAGGTGAAACGTGGTTAAAAATAACGACCGCTGCTGCATAACTGATCGGATCAATATCCCAGAAGTTTATCTGACTTGATTCTGTACTCTGAAGAGTGTTCCATTAACTTTTTTTGAGCAGTATATTTAAAACAGATTACTGACCGGCTTCATAATTCAGTCTCAATGAAACTTCTACTCAAATTTTTTTCTTGAAAAATCTTAATAAATATCGCCACACATTACTAAAATTGCATATGCATCCACGGACTACCCAAAGTTTCATCTACATATAGCATACACCATCAGCCTATTTCAGCTGGCCACATCCCTGCTGCAGTGTGGCAAAGCTGAAGACACAAAGTGGTGTGAGCTGTTTATCCCAAACTTCTAAATATATTTTAATGTCTTTTGTTATTCTGTTAAAGTCCACTTGCACTAGATGAGTAGTGGAGCCTGTGTTGTCTGTGAACTAGCATCTCCATTTTTCAAAAAGGACACTTTTGTGGCTCTTGCTTCTCAGGCATGAATTTTCTTGAATGCAGCTGTTGTTAACCTTCAAAGAGAGCTCTTCTTCGCCCAGGAGCAACAAACAAAAGATTTAGAATCTATCCAAGGTCACAACAATCACTGTAATCACTTTTTTAAAAAGGGTTAAGGCATTAAAATACCACTGGGTTGTGTGCATACAGCAGGATGCCAACAGAAACTGCTGGATTACTTTAAAACAAGGTTTCATTATGCATGTGAATCAGCCTGCTGAAAACTGCTCCTCTGTAAAACAAGCTGTCATTGTGTAGCTTTTAGCTACAGTAAGCTCTTAAAACCCAAAGACTGGCAGATGCTACAACTCGCTTGTGATTACTGTGGAGCATTTAGCAGCTAAAGTGCTGGGACTTTTCATTCATCAGGAGGACAGGATCATGACTCTAAATGAATCGTGAGCGAATCACTGTCCTTAAGACCAAATAAGCCAGTTGTTGCAGATTTAAGTATTAATATCTGTTTAAATACTTTAAACCTGTATATTTATTTTCAGGCTCTTTTAGCCACAGCTCTGTGTTTGTGGTATGGTATGTGATAAACAAACTATTAAGAGTATTTCTGAGTGATTTTTGACCCAGGTGCTGAAAACATTCACATTTTTGGCCTACGTCAACTTTTCTCCTTCGCACATTTGTGACACCCTTTATACAATGGGACAGCAAAAGAGAATGCTACCGATCTATCAGGGAACTTTTCCATGTGAAGTGAAATTTCGTTCACTAGAGAAATCCAAATGTTCGCTTCTTCAGCTTTTTCCTTTTCCACGTGTCGGTCTTGTAGTGTGAACGACGCCCGGCCCTTTAGACTTTTCAGGTGTGTACAGATCTATGTGGGAATGATGTATAAATCAAGGTTTTGGTATTTGTCCGGTTAAACAAGAAGGAGGTGGTTTTTATGCAATTTACTATTTTTAAAACCTAATACATGATTTACGTGTAGCAAGAAGAAGGTTGATTGTTTTTGGTTCAAAATGACAATGGATGTTTTCTTTATGGGGCGCCTACCTCTGCGTTTCTAAACAGAGAGGTTGCAATCCAAGGATGTTCACATGCTATGTATAAAAAAAACATATATTTTTGATGTCTTTTTTTTTCAATGATTGTCTCTAAAAAGAACTATTATGTAACATTTGCTGTATTGCTCTTCATCCCATGCTATTCCATTAGAGGTTAGAGGTGGGATCGGGGATGAAGTTACTTTGTCCTAACGTATGAAGTATATATGAAGTTGTACTCTCGTAGTGTCTACTGCAAACTGTACTTCTCTATCTAAATGATACCGTACCATTTTTCTGTGGCTATGCTGTACGTTTGTATCCGTCCGTGTGAGCGTGTGTGAAAGTGGGAGTCTCGTAGACAAAGCTTAGGTTCATGTCCTTTAAAGATGCCGTAACGTTTCTTAGAGGTGCATGTTAACCAAACAGTGAGCAAGCGTATTGACAGTGCAGAGTTTTTCTTGTTTTTTGCATATGAAAACATGTGAGCTTCTGTAGAAACCCCACCCTGGTTTTCTGGTGGTTAGCACTGTGGTTCTGAAACTTATTCCTATTAGTTAGGGATTTTCCCTTTTTATCTCTTATCCCCCCCTCCCCCCGGATTGGCTTTGATTTACACAAATGAGGAAACGATAGCGTTTGGCTGCTTTCCCCACTCTTTCCACGACATGTAAAACATCTGAAGTTTTTCAATTTGAGTGCCCATTTTAAATGACCTTTCCAAGTCACTCTTTTTGTTGTTTAATCTTAGGCGGCGTCTGCATATTGTTATTTAAAATGGTTCACGTGGACAAACTGAGATAAACTAAAAGCAAGATATACAGAGACATTGATTTAACTATAAAGGGCTTCTTAATCTATTGGTCTTTAATGAATTGTGATGACCTTGTTGCATGTTTGTGTGTTTTGTTGTGGAAAAATAAATGTGCCCTTGACAGGGGTAGTGTGTTTGAGCTTTTGTTACACCGGCTCTCCTTGTCCCCCACCCCACCCCACCCCACCCCAGTCGGTGGTGATGTGTCCTCTTCCTATTTAACACCACCGTTTCCTTCTCCCTGGGTAACTCTGTTCTTTGGAGCTCGTTATATGGATATAAATGAGCCTGGCTGCTGTTCTGGAGTGCAGCAGGAAGAGTTCTCACTGGTAGTAAATTTGCTTTATGGTAATTTTCTGCCTCTGGCTTCTGTGGTAAAGAGCTGTGGTGGGCGCATATTAAAGCAGGCCTTGAGATGTCAGGACGGAGGTGATGAGACAAACCCCCTTTCAGGTTGTCGTTCTTCCTTCCGTCACTGACCCAGCAGCTCGGGGGCCAGACCCCTGCTAGTATTTGTAAATAAGCCCTACTTGCCTGCCTCCGCTCACCGCTCACCGCTCACCTCTCACGCCTAATGAGGGGGCGAGCAGGGAGACTGCTGCATCATTGCAGGTAGGTCTGCTTTCATTAGCATTTAAATAAGGCCGGGAGGTGCATTGCTGGCACGCATATTTTTTTTCATGTGGTATAATTTAACATTACATTCAGATTCTTGTTGGATTGTGAATTCTGCGTTTCTGGTGGGTTGATTAAATTTGAACAAAGGAGTAGAGCGGTAACCATGACACTGGGAGCCTGCTCTGGCATCTATCAGATGTGACGGGGTTTCCTGTAATACCAAAAATGAATCAATGTCTGCTTGAAGTCAGATCCTCCTGCACTTTAATGCTAACCAGGAGACGGACAGACATAAGCCAGCAAAGCAGATTTTTCAAACCATTCCTTTATTTTATGGAAACCAAGTGAGGATCAATGTAAAGAAAAAAGTGTCAGTCTCGTTTTTTTCTGGGCACAAATTTGACACCATCTCCTTTGATTTCTTCAGCGGAGTTTATTGAATAATACAATTGTGTTCACAGTAACAACCCACTTGGAACAAACCATTATGATGAATTTGCAAAATAAGGTACAGGCGGGGTTTTTTTCCCCTTTCTTTTCTTTTTCATAACAAGAGTCCCCATTCAAGAGAACACAATGTTCCACTCATGCCTACTCTTGTTATGACTCGAGCAGCAGAGTAATAAAAGAAAAATGTGGAAAGCTGCAAACACCAACACACTCGTAATAACCATCTCAATACAGGATGCTGAATGTAATGTCTGCCATGTGTTTTAGAGTGTTAAGCTTGAGGGTGAGAAGAATGCCTGATGATCTCAGATCGGATTTTATTCAACTGAATATTGTTTAATAGACGGACACTGAACACTACTTTCTCTATGGAAAATGATCAAAATTCCCCACATGTGTATTTTTTCTTTAAAACTCCTAAAAGCAGATTTGGCATCTCAAACACATGAAACCAATGCAGTGGTACAAAAATCTCTGAAACTGTCAACTTAGCAAACGGGAGTGTCTCATGATTGTTAATTCCCCTCTTTTTCAAATAAAATTTGTCCATGTATGGATATTATATAATAACCAGGTAAATATTACCCATCTTAGGAATGGCATTATAAAAATGTGAATTACATCAGAACCCAACATTTACGTTGACTGGCCGTAGCACCAAACCAAAGCGGATGTTTTGTGTAAAGGGACTGAAGCAACAATTAAAATCTGAGTTTTGCTCACTTTACAAGCGGCGTCACACTGTGGAATAACTTATAATGTTATTGTCACTGCTACATTGCGGCCATGGTGATAGTTTGCCTCAATAAAAATACAAAGCATTTATAATAATAACAGCAATATCAAAACACCTTACATTCAGGTACTGTAGGTTACACTAAAACAAGCTTTTTGCATATAAATGTGTGACTCGGGTCCTGTACAGTATCTCAAAATATAAAAGCTTCTTTTCACATTTCACAACAAGTGGATGTGGGCCATGCAACAGATTGCTTATTATCTACATAAAAAATATCAAGTCAGATCATGCTTCAAAGTCCCTCCACCCCTCCCCACCTCCTTTTTGTCAAGTATCATAATCTTCCTGCGGCGCTCTTGTCGGTGGCACTCGGAGAATCAAAAAGATTAAAGTGGCAGAATTCCCTCTGCTCTTTACAGCCAGGAGGAAATGTACTAAAAGGCTGGAAGAGGTGGCACCACACAGCCAATTTTTTCTCCATGACAATCAAGAGAGTGGGTTAGCTGATTTTCACTTGTGTTGGTACAGGATGCTGCCCTTCCACTCCCCACCCCTAACCCGCCTTGATGCATTAAAGGCTCCCAGTTCACATGTGAACTCTAGGGATTCATAATAACACTGGTGACGTCCTCCTTTTCTCTGCGCTGGAAGGTAGCGTGAGCCTGCTCCAGGTCCTCTATCACCACCAACAGCCGAGCAGCGATGCCCTGACATGGCTTCATTTGCTGAACAGTGCATTCAGCACCATCTGTGACAGAGAAATGTGTAGATAAAAGGATGTTGTTTCTGTAGAATTACTTCCTGGAAATGTCATACCCACATAGAATATAAGGGGATAATAATAATGATAATACAACAATTAAAGCACTTGTACATGTAACTTGATAGAAAAGTTAAAGTTCAGTGTCACCTGGGTGAACGTCCACATTCGTCTTCTTTTCTTTATTGCACGCTGTCTCATCATCATCCGGCATCTCCAGATATTTGTTCCTGCAGTATCAGTCAGAATCATATCACATGATCACACAGTGAAAGTTAAACACTTGACTCATACTAATGTCAAGAAGCAGCACAGCAGTGCTTTACTGTGTAGCAACATAGACCTCTAGTGTTCAGGAAAAGAAATGCATACAGGCCGAGGACATGCTCGGGCACCAACCTGAGTTTGTCTTTGCCCTGCAGAAGCTGCTTGTATATCGTCTGAGTCTCCACGTCGGGATCCAGCGGGTCACTCCAGTCACCAAGTGTCACAGCTGAGTGGGTTCTACTGCAGCCTGCAACTGGAAGTTGCAGTTTTTATTTATTTATCTCTGGCACAGTCTGACTGACTGACTGACACAGTCTAAACTTCACCCCACTAAATGTAAAATATCATTTTAATGGATGTTTCTACTAGTTTGTATATAATAGTCAATGGAACAGCCTTAGTAACAATCAAACCTGTCCAATCCAAAATTGATTTGGAGAGCGCATCAAAACAGCCAGTCAAACCTTAGTAAAGTAGCAAAGGGGAGGTTGCAAGTTTCCTACAAATATTCTGGTGTCTTGGACATAAATCAGTACATCTGGAAGTAATAACAGCAGGATTACCAGCTCGGTCGGCCTGCAGGCAGCAGGTCCACTTGCCACTGCGATGAACCCCCGGGTGAAAAGAGGGCAGCATGCGCTCATTGTAGATGCTGACTTTCCTGATCGCAGACAGCCACTGGTTCAGCTCATTTACATTCTGTTTGGGAAAATTGAAATACGGTGAACCATGAAGTTTAATGTTGAACTGAAAAAAGAAAAATCTGCATTTTGAAGGCAATCAGCTGAAAAGCCTACAGGGATAAAGCACATCATTGCGACAGAAAACAATATAGATATTTAGTGACTTTTTTCTAGGAGATTAATAAAACTTGTTAAAAATTCAAATCTGTGACTATAGAAAACTGTCAGGGTTTTGTGTTTAAAAAAAAAAAAAAAAGTGACCAACTTAAAAAAACTCATGCACTGTCTTGGCAACTGGGTGGTGTACAAACGCACCTTGCACTGGATGTACGTGGTGTGCAGCTGTCCGTCGTTGTCCTGGGTGATGACCTGCATTACATTCTGCTGCTGAAAAGCATTTTCATCCACCCTCTCCACGGCGCACACACACTGAATAGGAATTGAAGAGCGCACCTGCAAACCACAGCCCCAATTAGAACAGGTATGCACATGATGGCAATGATGTATCATGCCTTGCCTCAGGCATACTACGCAAAGGACTCAGTGAAATAAAGGTGACATCTGATCACTGAGCAAATTAATGAAGAGGTTTCTCATCCTGAAATATTTTACACTCATTAAGCTACGAGGAACGGTACAGCGCAAGGAGGAAGTGAGGATGAGATCATCATGGCAGCAAAGGCTACTTTAAAGTGTAAATCAGCCACTTGCAATGGGAGCTCATCTCACTGAGACTGGAGTGCTCCAACATGGAGAAAAGGGGCCAGGACATTGTCTCCAGTGTGATTTGCGATGTTCGTATGAATATCCATAGCTTTCAATTAACCCTCGGCTTTATTCCAGTCACACAAAGCAGAGACTGACTCAAAGAGAGGCATTTAGTGACGAGGATGTTCTGCTCCCATCAACCGTCTCCCTCTCTCTGACAGTCTCTGGTTAGAAAATGAGAGGAAATCATTATCACGGGTTAGGCACCACATTGTAATATCAGTAATGATGTTCTCACGAGAAGATCAACACAAATACATGAAAGCAAAGAAGCAGATGACTAAAATGTTTTCTCTTTGTGCAACACGTGGTGATGAATGCCCTTCATGGGGCACAAATGGGCATATTGTACGTGTATTTTTATCATTACTTTGATTGTTTTTGATTATTTGATCCATCAGTCGTAGGAAAACATGATTAAAAAGCAACACTTGACACAGTGGCTGATTGCCAAAATGAGCAGTAACGTAAATACTCATATGTATTTCACACATGATATGCAGTATGTTGGTAGATTATAAAATTTTTGTGGCACAGTACCCACCTGCCAGTCAGGAGTCTTGGCATAAGACAGCGTCTCACTCGTCAACCAGAAGTAGCGTTTCTTAAATGCAAAGCGGGATAACAGTTGGGGTCCTTCTGCTTTGTGTTTGTGGAGAAACCCCTCTTTGACTGTGACTGAAGCCGTGAACACAGCCCTCTGAGGCACTTCAGACGCTGCGCAGAGAAAGCAGAAGACGGACATAAAGGGAAAACTGTTTGTAATCTGTAGCTAATTGCATATTCACCCAGATAGACACAAGGTGGTGCTGTGTCAATAAACTATATACATGCATTGCTTTAAACTGCACTCTGTTACAGATGGCTCCTCAGTCTTGTTCCATCACCCCATGAGGGATAGAGCTTCAAAGAGGAATAACAAGCATCTGCTTCTGTCCAACAAATTCACCTCGAGGGCATTAAATGTCAAACTGGCCTTTAGGAGAAAAAAGTGGTTGTGATGTGAAGACGAAGGTTGAAACACGATATGTCAGAGGGGGAAGATGTTTCACAACAACAGCCTCACTGACACATGACATTAAGGCAACAGCCAGGACAACAACAGCCCGTGTGGCAGCTTCTCACTTCAGCTCCCTGCCAGCTCATTAACCATGTCATCTCTTTTCCAGACTTCCAACTAGTTATGAATATTTCACTGCAAGGCTACAGTATTGTTTCACCTATATCAGCTGGGAGCTACTACACTGGCAGGTGGCCTGTGGCTGATTAGCTCAACAGCATGACCTCTGGACTTGGCTTTTGATTACACGTTGTAGTGATGCGTTTGGTGGTTACAGTCTTACCAGTGTCATGATCTATGTCAATTAACTTGTCCAGGAAGTCCTTGACAGAAGCCACACTGCGAAGGATGATGGGATGAAGAGGCGCCATCCACTGTTCTTTTCCGTGGCCCAGCTGAAGTCCCAAGTTCCCAACACTTTGTAGTGCCTGGCAACCACAGAGACACGATATCAACTACAAACTCACATCTTCACCATATCAAATCTCCAGAAAATGACAGAAGTGAGGGAGTGACTGCATATCTAAAAGTCGAAGATCAAAAGGGTCCCTGGGGCCAAGCATGCTGCGAGGCCCTTTGTCCAGCCCACACCTGGCCTAGGGCGAGGAGGAAGTCCCCCTCTACATCCTCTCTGATGCTTGGCTTTGAACCACAGACTGGTTGCAGCACACAGAGGTAAAAATAGCCCGTTCCCCGTCTCTGTAGAGGGCCCATGGCAACAGTTCTTCAGCACCATGGACAGCAACCACAGAAGCCACACGTGGGAGTGGAATGAGGTTTTACTGTTCTTCTAACATCTGGATCTAAGATCCCTGCTTTTAATGATATCAAGAAACATCGACTCAAATTCCAGTTATAACCTGCTAACATGCTCATCTGATCTATTTATGGTTAAAACGGAGCATAATGTGAGAGGGATGTTTTATGGCCATACTCTGTATAGTTGGTGGAAAAAACTTCTTTGAGATTTGCTGTCTGAGTAGAGTAGTTATGAATTTTAAACGAGTTCCTAACAACAGGTGATCTAGTGGCATTACTTCAGATTATTAGCGCCTTTCAAATAATTAACATTTTTATTAGTGTCAAAAAAATGAATACAGAGTTAGTTCTGTGAGAACAGACTCAAACAATCCCAGCAGATCAGCTAATCTAAATTCCAGCTCACATCAGCTCAGCTGTTTCCCTTTCCGTACATCCTACTGGCAAATCTCATGCTCTTTTCAAAATTCTTCAGTCTACCAACTCTTTCATTTGAAGCTAAAGATGCTACTTCCATGTCATCCTGTCCTCACTGATCCCTGCTCTGTTCCCTAAGGGCATCTTGCTGCTGCCCTCACTGTCTTTAGACTTTCCATGTGAACGTATGAAAGGATGGTGAGGTCTCAGACCACAGACGAGACATATAAATATAAATGACTGGAGATGGAATATCAATCTTATTTTGCTGATTATGGCAGAACTTAAAATAAGGCACATGTGGACCTACAGTGTTACATAATTACCAAACAAAGTGAGAAAAGCAAGGAGTGCCTCAGTGCTCTCTCTCTGTTGACGTTAACACTGTGTGTTTGTGTTACATCGTATTCCTGCTCCATGTTTTATTTGTTTTACATCCACAACATGAAAATCCATCTCCTTACACAGATGGCCTGTTGCATCACGCTCAAGGGTTCCAACACTGTACTGTTTATTTTGTGTTTTGTTTTGGGGAGTGCATAAGTCTGAACATGGATAAATGATTCACAGCAGAGTCTATGTGCATGTCTGTGTTCTGAATCATACCTTGGCTAGTAGTAACAGTGTTCTGCTTGTACGCGTGTCAGCATGCTGGTCTCTCAGCTGAAACAGCTTAGGTGTGAGGATTGCAGGAGCAAAAAAACGCAGGAAAAAGAATCCACTGATGGCCAGGTACTTCACATCCTGTAAAAATGAAGACGAGTCACTGAACGGTGACAGGCTGCCTCGTTGAAGGGTTGCGGGTGAAAGTAAGCACAAATACACTGACACGCTTTCCTCTCTGTGTGTTTTGCTTCACACTAACCTCATTCTCAGGCTCGGTAAATTGCTCCTCCACTCTCTTGTGCAGCTGTTTGAAGGCCACTCTCATTACAGGAGGACACTGATCGACTGAGCTCACGATTGATTCGATGATGCTGGTCAAATAGCTCTGCAGCATCTCCACGCTGCTGTCCCGCACCTCTGCCTCTGACACTGCACCCTTGAATGAAATCCTTCTTCAGAGACAAAGAAAGATGCTGTAAACAAATGAACCCCTGAGATCTGCAGAGTAAACGCAATGCAAACAGGAGCTATCCAAGACAGGCTTTTATCTGTTCTGTAACACAGTTTATAAAAGGACTGATAACATTTCTGTTCTTCATTATCTCGTTACATATGAGACCATGTTACTACAGAGGAATCCAAACAATGATTGCCGTATTGACAATATCTAAACACATAAACTGAGATAATTTAAGGGGACGAGATAAGATAGTAGGTTAGAGCTACTGCATACATGGAGAACGTTAGATCCTGGATCTCCCCCCCATGTCAGAGATAGATATCTCAGGGGGCTCATGGCAGTTGCCAAGCAACAGCCATTCCCATTTTACTTTTTTTTTCATTTCCTCACATTCATGTCTTTCTCTCAAGGGTGAAGTGTAAAGGAAGTGGGCAGTCTCCTGTGGCAGCTTTTCCATTTTAACACATAATTTGCGAACAGCACGCCTGAGCGCACAACCCACAAATCCCCTCTTGTCAATTGTAGCAGTCCTACTCTATTACCAGGTCCGAGTATGACTATAGAATTGTGATCCAACAAGATATGTTTTAGGTCCGATTTACCTTGTGCGGTTCAGGTCGATCTTACATGGGTCAAGTTCAATGTACTTTTTCTCATCAAAGATGCGGTTGATGATGGGCTTCAACACCTCATGCAGATACAGCATGCCAACAGCCTGATAGCAAAACAATATCATATGTTGAAGACATCTGTTAAGGTCACTGTTATTCGTTTTGCTTTTCTTGATCTGTTCCCATGCGTCTTTTGTGTGTCCCTCCCTGTCTGCTTCCTCAGTTTATCTGTTTGTTTTCCATGTCCCTCTTTCCGTTTATGGTCGTTTTGTTTTGAAGGTTATTTTCTCATGTGGTGTTGTTCCCTGGTATGTGTTTAGCTTGTGGTTGCGGTCAAACAGACAACAAATTCCCTCTTATGTCTGTTGATGACACTTTCCCTTGATAGGAAACATCCAGAGGGTTAAGGAAAAATGCTAAGAAGAATTCACATAAAGGAAAACAGGATTGTTGTCCATAGGGAATCTAACTTGCACAAGACTAGTTAAAAATGTGACAAGGTGACAATTTTAACGGTGTATATATCCTTGTGAAAAATATCACTTGATTACCAAGAACAGCTTTCCAGCACACAGTGAAGTGTATCAAGAAATGCCACTCATCTCGTCCTGTTGAAGAATTAACCCTTTAATAGGGCTTTTTAGCACTTCTCATATTAGATGAATTAATAAGACTAAATGCTAAGACCAAAAATGGGGACATACGCAATGCAAGCCTTCACTTCAATTAGTTAAATGCATATAAAAAATCTTATTTATAGAGCAATTTTCTAAAATTAGGTTTCAAAGCACTTCATACGATGAGTATCAGTGAAGTGATCGCATGTAGGAAAAATTTAAACCAAGCAGCACATGATGTGTCAGTATGTTGATCATTTGCTTTGAATTGAGGGGCAGCATTATGTCTTTTCATTTCATAAGGGATGGTAAATGTGCATCCTTTTCTAAAGGTGGTAATAAGGGAATCACTGAAGCAGCTTTCCTTAACATTTAAAGAATTTAACTACCTCCTATTATGACTCTAGACACTTCTGGGTCACTTCACTCAGTTGGGAAACTTCCTAAGCAAAATTGGCACAGTCGGTTTGTCAAGCTAACCACCTCCTGTCCTGCATCTCTCCTTGCCTCTGTCTGTTTCTTGTCCTCTTTTGGATCATCTGTGTTTTTTTACTCCTTTTTGTAGCAATCTTGAAAATTGACACACTTTCTGTTGCACTTAATTTGGATTGACCCTGCCCTACCTAGCAGCCTGTTATGTCGACATACTCATTGATACATTAAAGCTACCTTTGCATTTGTCATGCTACACATGCTACACATGCCTTTTTGTTCTTGCACTTGACAGCTTGCCTTGTTTTATCTAAATCTGCATAATTCAGAGAGTAAATATCAGGCACATCATGCTTTCCCTCAGAGCAGGGACCGAAAAACTGCAGGAACTATAATAATAATAATAATTTCTTTTTAAAACTTAGCTCACCTTCATGAATTGTTCCATGGCTTTGGAGGCAAGTGAGTTTGATCGAAATAAGGTGTTAGGATCAGCTATAAGAGCAGAAGGAAAAAAATAGTATTAACAAAATATCTTACATATGAGCGAAATCAGTGGGCATAAAAAGATTTTCCTTAATCTGAATCAAGTGAAACAAAGCAACAGTTTTCAATTAAAGAATTAAAAAAGGGTAAGAAGCTCAACATCCACCACAACAATTTATTGCTCTTTTCCTGTCATCTATCTATTGTTGTGCCTAAAAACACATTTTAAATGATGTATGACAGTGGGAATGGTGGGAAGGATCATATTACTGCATCCAGTAGCTCCCAATCAATTTAATAAAGCGTCACATAGACCCTCATCAGGCGCTTAATTATGCTCGATGAAAAAGAAAAATTTAAGATTGAAACACTACTTCCTTAGAGTGGAAGCTTTTCATATAGCCGGTGGAGCATTTGTTTGCTCCACCCTCATTTCACCTTTTTCTCTGGGCTCATTTATACATTTCTTAAGTATCTATACTTTCTATTTAGTCTGGCGCAAGTCTATCAATCAAGAACAAATAGTCCAGAGTCACAAGTGAGGGCAGACCGACCTTGCCTCAATGTCATGTTAGTCATGCGGTGACACTAAAATATCCATAGTAACGGGACTGGGTTGGCAGGTAAATTATTTGGATGTAAGGAGAAGGGCGGGTTTTTCACTGCTGCCCAGCAGGTGTACTGTACGTTTTTGTGCCGTGTGCCTAACTTTAATGTCTGGGTGCTCACACAATGCATTCCTGATCAAGCAGTTACCATTTGGATCATGTGGAGTTGCTATGGAAACTTAGGCACTATGCTTATTAGCAGAAACTACACCAACAGAAACCAAAGACCAGAGCTCAGTGTGAATTATCATGGGGATATGGTGCGGAGGCAAAAACATGACTAATCCAGACCGGAGAACAGCCAAGGGAAGACTGTTGGGTGAGTAAATAATTGGCACTGGGGTAGTAAATATAGTGTTGGGAGGCTTTTACTGCCCACACACATACCATAGCTGCAGTGTTCAGAGACCTTAATGTCAATTCAGCAGCAGCAGCCCTCAGAGGGTCTCTGGAGAGTGGAGCAATAACAGCAAACTGGCATGTCCCAAAGTCTGACTAATATAAATACTGACTAACAGAGATAAACTTAGATCCTACACTGTATATTCAAAGTGCAGCCACAGTTATTACATGTAATTAAGAGCACAAATACACATAAATTCTGAGTAAATTTAGACACTTGGAGGAAGATGGAGGACATGAACTCAAAACCTTTAAAAACGGTTTAAAGTTTGCACTTTTTCGCTTCGTCTTACTGGTGTGGTTGACCTCCCGGGTGTTAAGGTAGTCCAGGAAGGGTACCACCAGTCCTTGTCCCAGGTAGATTTTCACCAAAGTCATTGCCACGTCCTGTCTGCTCTCAACTGTGGTGACCTCCTCCAGCATAGTCAGAGCGCTGCTATCCTCCACCTGTTCAGAAGAAGAGAACTCGGGTCACGGGTCAAGAATTTTGGCGCAACTGGGAAGCCGGACAGATGAAGCAGATGAGGTCTAACTGCAGATGGAAGAAGTAATGCATACAGCAGTCCTTTGACATGGCGAGTGACTGAGTGGTCAACAAATGAATATCAGCATTGAAGAGGAGCTGTCATGCTGACCTCTGTAGGAGAGATTACCGACTCAACCAGAAGGTCGATGAGAGGCTGATAGTACATGGATGGCAAGATCTGATCCTCCACCAGACGCACCTTGAGACGGAGGGCTCCCAGCTTGCCACTAAAAACAAAGGAAAGTATCCCAGCACAGATTTTCAGCTAACACAATAAAAGTCTGGGTCTGGTTAGACATTTGCATAAACTCTTTTTTTGTTTTTGTTTTTGTTTTTTGTTAAAGGAGTCAGCGGTTGATTGGAAAATGCAGTTTAGATAAGAAATAAAGCTTAGAGTACACTCGTAAAAACAACCGCTAAATCATCCTGCCCCTGGCAAGGACATTTTCTAAACACATGGCTCACTGCGTTTGGGGGAAAATGACGCACTGCTTGGTCACAGTCTTCTCTAAATCAACAGTGGACTGGAGTGCAAAAACTCCTTACAAGAGTGAGTCATTTCCTAATGAACCTGAGAACTTCCCTTTACTTTACAGTTCACTCAGCCCTCCACTCGCTCTAAAATTATCTCGGGGTGCAGATGCCGTCAACGTGCTGGCTATACATCCGTGATTGTGCATTTAAGTGCTCGAAAGAGAGCCAGGAGGAAAATAAAAGCTTCTCTTGGGAACATTTAAGAAAAGATGTGATTATTGCTACGACAATTTCAGTCTTGATGGTTTCCGAAAGGAAATGCCTCTCTCTAAAGATGCATAGTTACCACATTGTACAAAGAAGCACACCCATAATCCTCACCCAGCATCAACCTCATTGTTTCCCAAGGGCAGTAAACGAAACCAGCCCTCTAACTGAGGTGTCTTGTGCAAACAAGCAAAAGGGATTTCCACCTGTGGAAAAGAAACAGAAAGCAAGCACACAATATCAACAAGAAGAAGTAAAAGCCTTTATTTTACAGCAAGGAACACTGTACTCAATTATAAAACCTTTTTTAATCTACTCATGACCTGAATTTTAATACATATGAAAAATGATTAGAATTATGGGAACCTCACCTTTCCCAGAAAGTCATTCTTGCCCACCATGTCCCAGTCCCAGACCTGTACAGTAACAGTCCCCTCCTCCTCACGCAACTCTTCTGGATCCAGCTCCAGCTCTAACGTCTCACCCCAGTGAGGAAAACGGGTCTTCTTGATTATCTAAAAATCCAGCATTAAGAAATTGAAAGAAATCAAAAGATCAGCCTAATCTTTAACATTTAACCTTTAAATGACAAACAGTAAGGCAACCATCAATCAGACTTCAGTGCAACCCACATAACCCACTCATGCATGCAGACAGAGCTCACCGAGGTCTCTGCACTATGGTTGTTGAAAATAACTCTTGTGAAGGGATCAGAGGTTCCAGAAATGTCTCTTGGAGCCAGGTCTCTGCGGGTATCACCACACCAAAGGACAAGAGAAATCATTAATCCGCCAAAATGCTCCGCTAACTCTTATTATCTGTTCTGCAAGTTAAATTAGTGTGCTTTAGCGAGGAAAGAAAGCTGAATCTCTACTTCTTACTCAACCTTATTCTTTCAAACTCAATTCATACTCATCAGAGCAAATTTGAATAACACAGTGTCAAGTCCTGATTGACAAGCTCATTAGTGCCCCGCCTGAGAAGGAAAGATTGTAGCCTGGGACACACAGATGGGGCAGTGAGCGGTGTGACAGTGGCGGTGTGACTCAGAAGGGAGTGTGGAGGCCTGCGGGGTGATGGTGATAAGAGTTCAGCTCAAAAGACACTGATATACTGCCAGAGCTCAACTACAAGGAGCTCAGCTACACAAACGTGACCACGTTTGAAGTGATATTACGGTGGCTCTATCACACTCTCACATGGCAGATTCTGAAATGTTCGAGCCACTATTGTCCGTGGCCGTTTTTAAGTGAAATCGCCTTCCTGGCATTTTCTCGGCAGCGCAGGATTTCATTTTACCTGGCTTCAATGACTTGACACCGCAGACTGATCTTCTCCGTATCTTTAAGCAGCTCCAGACCCAGATGGATCTCTCCTTGGACTTCTTCATCAGGGTCAACCTTTGTGAGATTTAGCCAGCAGTCTAGCCCTGGCCGTAAAGCACAAAAAGAGATTAATCTCAAACCATTAAACACCGAGAGGAGCTGAGAGATTAGAACTTTGAAAGTCATATTGAAAAGAAATCATATTCATTTTCCAATTAGCTGTAAAATATCCATTGATGAACTGGCAAATAATTCCTGGACTAATGTACTTTGAATATTATGAGTATTTTTCAGGATCGAACTAACAGTTTGAAGACCTTATTTTTAACTTTAGGAAGATACAGTTGCTTATTTTTGTTCTTTCTGACAACTAACTGGTCATTATTCTGTTTGATTAAGTACACAAATAAAACTAATTAGTGCAAAAACATCTACAGTTTGTACAACTGCAAGGCAGGAACAGTAAAAAATAAAAAAAATAAACAAAAATACCACACAGTCGATGATTGCCTGGACAACATGCACACTGTGTGATGCTGTTAAGATTCTACTTTTGTCTTTCAGAAAATGAAAGAAAAGGTACAATATCAAGGCCGGGCTGTGAGAGAAATCCTGTGAGGGAGTAAAATGACTCAGTACCACAATGCGGCAGTGAATCACAGGACTGAGGCCGATGCCAGGTGGCCTTCGGAGGAGAATCATCAATATGCAGCAAACATACCCTTTTAAACTCTTCAAGTAATCTAATAACGCTACGACACAAAGACACACGATTTGTCAGCCCCATATGTCTGGCCGAAAGTGCGTTCATTCCAAAACTGACCTACCTACTTTTAATCCGGGAATGTTTCTTAAAACTGTGCACCACTTTTCAGTGAATACTCAGGTAATTTTCATTAGAAGCAATTCTCAGTTTCAGAAATTTGTGTTTCCATTTTCTGATTTTCCATTAAATCCCAGTTTTAAATTATTAGCAAACACAGCATTCTCTGCTTTATCTAGTTTTTACATATTGTCCCAAATTTCCGGAAGCCCTGTAAATATTGTGAGTGATGTGCATAAATGAATTTAAAGGTTTGAGAGAAGCTAAGAAGCATTCCCACCCTAAAAAAAAAAAAAAAAAAAAGCATGTCTCCTCAATCACTTGGACTTTTGAATCCATCACAGGATTCTTTGTGTGTTTAACCTCTGAGCTCTGGCCATGCAGTCATCCAGTTATAGACTAGTGCTGAATGTTTAGCCATGCCTTTAGCTTGAGCTCCAATGGCTTCTTTGGTCAGCGTAATCTTTCCAATAACATCATCGTGCCTGTAGAAAGGGATGCAAAAGAGAGAGAGAGACTGTGAGACAGAAGCTTCTGAGAATCAGATCAAAGTTTTTGAGTTTTTGAGTGAAATGATTAGCGCTGGCCATCATGTGAAGAGGAGAAAAAAAACAACCTTTAATCACTCAATCTGGGCGACCATCTGCCTGATGATGTTTGTTTATTCAAAGCTTAGAGTTTTTTCCCAAAACATTAAAAAGCTTTGCATGAGTTTCCACACAAATATATCAACTCATGGCAAGTTAAGCAAACACAGAGGACTACAAATACACGACCAGGGTCCAGCAGTTAAGAGTAAATATGGAATAGTTTTGAAAGTGCTTTGGTTGCGGGCATTACCCAATTGTGTCCTCATCCATAACGTGAAAAGAGAGGGAATGAAACCCCATTGGGAGATGCAACGTGTATTCTTCACCCCAGAAAGGATTAAGGTTCTTCCACACAGTGGCCGTCCTGAAAAGAGAAGTTTACCATGCTTACTATCAGCAGCCCTGGAGCAGACACATATCACATTAATGTGCGCAAAAACAGAAACGTGCAAGATTCTTTCTTTGCTTCCATTTATATAGATGTTAATTTTGTGATATGCACTAAATATAAATATTAAAATGGGAGAATCGCCCTCTCCTCAAACTATTCTCAACTTAGTGATGTACAGTTATTGTTAAAGTGTCAGGTGTGATAAAAAAAAAAAAAAGGTTAGAAAATCCAGCTGTTTCAAAATGATAGCAAGCTATAAGATTCTTGGATTTTAAAAAGGTCATCTAAGGATTCTGTTGAAGCCAAAACAAACACTTAAAATGGTCAGATCTGTGCAGCAGCCACAGTTTGACTCTGACCTGAGGCCCTTTGCTGCTCGTCTTCCTGCTTTCCTCTTGTCTGCAATCCAATAAAGGCAAAAAAAAAGCCATAAAAATCCTGCTTGTTTTTTTTTAATGGTCAGATTCATAATTTTGTGTTTATTCTTATCACTAGTTATGTTTTTGAATCCTGATTTTTGTAATTTTGCAATTAGGCAAGATTTTGCAGGATGTGCTTTGAAATGAATGTCCTTTGATCTACTTGTTTTTTAAAGGCATTTCTGGGGAAAAGTTTGATTTATTTTTTTTAAATAAAAACAAGCAAATTGCTAGCTTTTTGAGAAATACTTTTGAATCAAAACCATTCATACATCATCCTGCCAAAATGGCCTAACCCTTCATTATTACCACCAACTTTTCTCTAGTGTACCAAAATCTAGCAGCTGCATCATTTATGAACATTACACTCAGAGGACTCAGTTGGCCAGTAACACTACAAGTGCAACATAATTAGTGTGAGCATCTTCAGCGAATCATTGTGCTGTTTTTTCCCTCACCACCCCAGATGGAACAATACCCACTAAATTCACCCCGTGTTCTTGTGAAAGTCCACAGCAAAGCAGTTTCTCTAAAGAAATTTGCTTTGCAAAGCAAACAATTCTGCAGTTTACTACAGCTGCTTTTTAAAACTACCATCTTCTGTCTGAACAGCTTGGAGGTTGAAATCATGTGCACGTCTTCACCCAATCTGAAACCACCTCTGAAATGGTGTATTCTGCTCCGAGCTCCCAGCATTCACCTGGCTTACACCGGGTGCTCACTGCAATAATTGATGCACCCTCTCCATGGTTACCTGTGGGTGTTTTAAAGGCCAGACCAGTATCAGGTTCTCTGTGATGGAAGGACCACGCTGTGGGTACCACAGCACTGATCACACCACTCCACCCTGGTTTACATGTGCACAGTAGCGGGAGCACAGCCAGAAACTAATGTAAATATATGAAGTGTGATGACTCAGATCGCAGCATATAGATAAGAACATCATCCAGCTGCAGGTCTGGATAAAACACAGTTAATTTACGTTTATCGTGCACATCTTAATAAAAATCAGAGAGAACTCACCTGGCCACAACTTCATTGTCAACTTTTACAATGCAGTATGGATCACTGGTTCCGGAGCTTAACGTGACAAAGAAAAAAAAAAATGACAGAATGAGACAAAGCATGGCCAGTTTACCTGGGGGTAAGCTTAATTTAATCTTCCCTCGTCTTTAATTATACTCAGGTCAATTTGACTATCTCTACTCTAATTCAATTAGGTAATTTACAGGAAAGAGCGCACCAGAAATGGCTATATGACATTTTTTTCTGATTTGACAAATAGCTAAGAAACAATGCAGAGGCTGTGTATATTTTAGTAGATAAAACCTGAGCACAGAAGCATGCCATTCAGAAATTACTTACACGTCTTTGGCCGGGAGGTTTCTGCCCTCGACAATTCGAAAATAAAGAGATGTGTTTTTGGCCATTTTAATCGTATGAACCACTAATCCAGTTTCTCCTGTGCTCCCATACGCGCTGTTATAAACAGTGCTCTTCCCCTCGGCAAGTGAGTTTTCTTCGTTTCATGACACCTTCAGCTCGTGACGGCGCACTGCCCACCAAGCAGCGCGCGACACAGGCGCGCCTCGAGTCCAGCCAGCTGAGGTTAAACGTCACGGGTCACGGCGTGTGCACCCCAGCTGGGGATTTAAGCTCTTATTTTACAATAGGTGTTCAATATGAATAAACGTAATCGAAAGAATTGCATTTAAAAAATAATTTTCATATGGTACATAGCGTATATTCTTTAACTGACATCATTGCATGTATGTACTCAGTCATGTTAATTTGTCATGGTCTGAAATGTATTATCATATCTGATAAGTAGCCTATAAGAAGCGTCTCTTTTTTTTTATACAAAGCGCCACCTAGCGTGCATATTTAACTATTTCATGCGCAATTATAGACAGGCATCTCGAAAGTCGCCAATAGGGGTCCTAGTTAGCTTGGTTAGAAGTCTTAACAGCTCAAAACTAGTCTGTTTCGTTTTCTTAAAGTGACTTAGTAAGTTTAGCACGCTTTTGTGCACACACGAAGCTCATTAGATACAAAATAGCCTCCAGTATATAACTTATATTATTTACTTCTAGAAAAAATGTAAATATAGAAGCGTAATTTGTCGATGTTGTTACTGTTAGCTAACTGAGTCCGTGCTGCTCTCATCTTTCCAGATGAAGAGATGGACGGTTATCCCGGTGTCACTGGGGGGGATTCTACACAACAACAAGAAAGACATTACTACCTGTTATCTGAACTGCAAACACTGGTCAAAGGCTTGCCGAGGTATCGTTACTTCCTCCACCGACTTTAGAATATTGCTGTGATATGAAGGGGTACCTTTTTAAAGCTGTGTAACTGATCTCTAGATGATTTATTTCTTGTTTTGCTTTTTCCTCCGTGGTTAGCTCCTTTCAGCAGCGCCTGTCCTACAACACGCTGAGTGACCTTGCTCTAGCCCTGATAGACGGGACGGTATATGAGATTGTGCAGGGTCTGCTGGATATACAGCATCTGACAGAGAAGAATCTCTACAATCAAAGACAGAAGCTGCACTGTGAACACCAAGGTTTGTGGACTGCTGAACAGGAAACGCACAGGACACGTCCCCGGTTCCAGCTTAGCTGGTTTTCATCTTGTCTGATGATGTTTGACAACATTTCAACCACATGATTCCACAGAAAACGACTCCTGCGTAGTCCAGAGATGTTATCATAAAATACCATATACCTATAAAATACAACACTGTTGTAAAAAGGACACATAACTAATGCTGTAGCAAATTAATCTATTTATACTACAGGCCTCTATACTATGAAGCAGGATTTTGTCTTATTCAGGTTACTTAAGCGTTTTGTTTTGTTTTTTTTGTTGTTGTTGGTTGCAAACACCTTTTCAACATTGTTATTCTATAAACATTAATGTGTTATCCTAAAATAGAGCACCAATTTGTACTTAGAGAGCTTATATCAAATTTATGCAGACTAAGCCTAAATTCTCTTTTTATATTTATTCTTTTCTCTTAGACCATGTCTTTTAAATATTAATTTAATGAAGAACTTAATTATAATCCATCAGAGTTGTTACATTGATAATTCTGTAAACTCACACAGTGTGCATTTTTGCCTGCTTTCTTTCTTGGCTAAAATAGACTAAACATCATTAATATGACTGCTCTTTTCCAGCTCTTTTTCAGTTTACTCCTATAATCCTATATTGCTTTACAGTGCATTTCCCCATACTGCTGTGTTGCTTTCAGTCTGAATTGTGTGTTTAACCTTGTCATAGTTTTACAATTAGTCATTCTGTCGCCAGTACACTTATCAATTCCTGTGATCAGTCAGATTGCACCAACTTTCATGTTAATGCACAGAGCAAATAATGCATTAGTGAGTTGATAACAAGCTTCACGACTGATTATCTTGATTGCCAGTGTTAGGGTAAGAGCAGCCAGAGAACCGAAAGATACCCTGGGTATGTTGAACTCACTTCATAGTACAGAAAAACTATGACAGAAGTTAAAAATGACAAAACATTTCAAACCAATATTAGTATTTGTGAGATTATTAACCTTAATTTTAGAAAATATATGTATATAAAAAAATTATATATTAAACATAAAGTCAAAGATAAAGAGGGGTTCGAACTCAGATTAGAGCCACTACTCCTTCAGATTGAAAAGACCCAGTTAATGTGGTTCGGCCTCCTGGGTGAGGTGTTCTCGGCATGCCCTACCGGGAGGAAGTCCCATGCAGACCCAGGACATTCTGGAGTGATTATATCTCTTAGCTGGCATGGGAACACTTTGGTGTTCCTTTGGACAAGCTGTAGAAGGTGGCCGGGGAGAGGGAGGTCTGGGCTTCTCTGCTTAGGCTGTTGCCTCCTATCGATGGATGGATGGATGGATATTTTTCTACACACACCACTTGATAAATTCAAACACACTATTAATGAGGTATTCCACCAAACATTAAGCACATGCAAGACAGCGCCTCTGTAAACTCACAAACTCTGGGTTTGTGGGTTCACAAAAAAACTCACTAAGCATACAAACTAGCATAAATGTAGTGATGGTTTGATGAAGTCCTGTGTGGAATCTTTCAGTTGCTTCATCAAAGGGCAAATGACACAAAGCCCTGTTCAAAAGCTCAAGTGCTGACATCTGCTGGTCATTCAATGTACAGCAGCCCTGCTGTGATAATACATGTGGGCTACATAACAGTCGATATATAAATGTAATGATGTATCAATGCAAAATACCTATATGAGGTTCTGTGTATGTGTATGTATGTGTAGAGAGAGAGAGAATACCTCTAACTAACCATGCTCTCTGAGATTAATTTAAGATGTATGTTATTATTGGGAGATATGATATCGCCTTTTTGGTGGCTCCCTAATGTGCTTACGATCTCATTGCAAGTTTGTGATGATCCTCAGAATCACCCCAGATCCAGTTCACGCAAAAAAAAATAATAATTTCTGTGTCTTTTCAACAGCTTGAATCACATAATGAGACACTCGTGTCACATCAGAGAAATGGGCCCTCGTTTATCTTTGGTCATGTGATATTCTGAAGAGTGGTACAGGCCTTGACATGGGCTTCATTTGGACACACCCCCTTAGTCGACACAGGCCTCCAGGCTTCAGTTTCAGACATACCAGCCCTACAGAAATGAGAAAAGGTTGAGAAAAATGATCCTATAAGTGTTGTATTTGTAATAGGGCT